ACACACACACACACACACACACACACACACACACACACACACACACACACACACACTGGGTAATAACGGGACATTAAGAGACTGTGATATTGACGCTCGTGGGCCAGTAATCCCAGACGAGTGTTTGGCCTCCGGCTGGACTCGTTCATGAGAATCTCTGTGCGTGGGTGATATTTAGCGAGCTCTCATTTGCACTAATGTTAGCGAGCGGACGCGTCGCCGCCGGCTGCAGCTAATGCGATGTGACACTGTAATTGATGAGCTGCAGCGGGAAACGGAGCGCAGTAAACACTCACCCGCATGCGCCGTTGTACTCGAACTTCCCCTGATTCAGCTGCATGCCCAGATCTGAAACACAGCCATAATGTGTCATGAATATATGCTGCATTACAGAGGGAAACAAGACCAAGATTCTTCACGTCTCTCTTAAAACACACTGACTACATGGGGGGAAAGGAATATATCTATATATATCATTCCTATGACTATTTAATTCTTAGAGTCCAGCAAATGACATGGGGAAAAAAACATAAATATATATATATATATATATATATATAGAGAGAGAGAGAGAGATACATATTTCATTCCCACAAATTCAGAAATCATTCCCACGACTATTTAATTCATTCCATCGTTTTAGTTAAATTGTAACTAATTCTTAATTTGTGGTCACAATAAATATATTTTTGTCCACATGTCATGATCCAAAACTTGACATGTATATTTTCTTCAGGAGTCTCAGCATGTTGTGGTCTGTAGATGTGTCTGGGCTTCTGTGGGGTTTATGGAGCGTCTGATTGACTCCTCAACACACACATGATCTGAGGAATCCCTCGTGACTGGAGCTCAACACACACTCAGCTTCAGCAGTGATGTACTAAAGCACAGTCGTGTTTATGAAGCGAGCAGCGCTGATCGGAGTTCAGTCTGTCGCACATGAGTGTGTTTCTGAACAGATGCTGCTCTGAACATGCGGGAACGAGCATTATTACTGGCGTCCAGAGAAACGCAACATTCACACTGATATTTTCCTGCTTCTAAATAGCTTCACATTCTAGTGAAGTGTTGAAGTTGAGCTCCAGTCATGAGTGATTCCTCAGATCACGTGTGTTGTGTCGAAAAACCCCACAGACACTGAACAGAGCGGAAGAAAACAGCTAGAAACACTTTAGCAGGCACTGAGAAGCTCGTCAGGTCAGATCTAATGTGAACTTTACACTCTCACTATCTAGTTGGATATTATATTTTCTGGCCTGAGTTGAGTGACTTCAGAACACGGCTCATCTCAGAGCAGTCGTTTCTGTGAATGCGTGTCTCTCTGTGCGTACAGTAACGGCCCCAGCGGCTCTCGGGCCCCGGGCCCCGGCTGTACCTGGAGTCTGGAAGTTCAGAGACACCATCTGGCAGCCGGCGTTCCAGAAGACAGAAGACATGTAATTGCTGGAGTCCACGCGGCCTCCTTTGGGGTAGATGCGGCTCATCTGCCGCTTGTTGTAGCTGCACGTCTGCGGCTGAGGAAAACAGAGTGTGATTTCAGCATGGTTTGAGGGCTGATGGGTAATCGTGCGCAGCTGTCAAAGGATACTTCACAAACTCAATGGCGTTCGTCTTCAGATAGCCCAAACCCACAGACTCGTTGAAGGACGACATGTTGTGATGGATGTTCCTCTCTGAAATAAAACACTCAGTTTATGAACACACAGCTGTTTACATCCACATGTTGTGTCTCACAGGACATTTACACACACCCGCAACACATGAGAAAACACACCCTATCCTGGTTAATCAGAGTTTTTGTTCAAACCAGTCTGGATTTCTGAAACTGTGTGTATTATTCTATTTTACATACTGTGTTATTTTTCTCCTTTTAAATTCATACTACATTTCCTACTGTAAAGCACTTCGTGTGAAACTGTGCTTTGCACTGACTGTGTTTGTATAATTGTAATCTGAGTTTGAATATCATTATGGGTGACTTTGTTTGACAAAGATAATGACTGATTATTTACCTCAGAACATGAAAATGAATGAAACAAGAACGTTATAACAGTTTGATTTTTATTATTTGTTTATTATTAGCTGCCTTCCCATCGGTTTCGCTATAGTTGTGAACGTGACAGTGTTTGTTGCTACAGTAAGCGCTGGACTGACCCTCGGCGACCTCGAAGCTCTGGAACTTGACGGGCTGAGCGTAGTTGACCATTGCTGACAGGTACGGGTGGATGTTGGTCGTGGCTCCTTCATACTTATACGAGGCGATGAGCTGCTGCTCGGCATCAGCATCTTCAGCCGTTTCTACACCCTGATGAAGAAACACACGCGTGACGCTCAGCAGCTTCAGCTCTGTAGATTTGCTCAGACCAATCAAACAGGAGTCGCACCTTCTTCTTGTTCTCCAGCTCCGACGCTTCGGACACGTCGGTGGCGTCCGTGATTTCAGTCGCTTCTGAGATCTCGGTGACGTCTTCATCTGGGATCTGAAACACAGAGTGATGTG